AATTTATTTAATTTTTATTTTTTATTATTATTTTTATTTTTATTTATTTTTTAAATAATAATTTTATTTTATATTCCCCATACAATTGCAACCCCCCCATTCTGACCCCAATCCCTCCCCTCCCGCCCCCACCCCCCAAAAAGTGTCTCTGGTTCATAGTTTTTTGTTGATTTTGATTTTCATTTCTTTTTTTAAAGATTTTATTTATTTTTGCATAGAAGTACTGGGGTGTAGACCAGAGGTTCGTGCATGCACGCTTGTGTGTGTGTGTGTGTGTGTGTGTGTGTGTGTGTGTGTGTGAGAGAGAGAGAGAGAGAGAAAGAGAGAGAGAGAGAATTCACCAGAGACAGAGTGGGAAGCAGAACAGTTGGATTTATTGAAACATACTGCTGAGGGGAGCAGTGGGTGAGACAGGAGAGGTCTGCTGCGCCATACAGGTAGCTTCCTAGCCGGGGACTGAACTCAGACCACAGCTGGGATAGCTTGATAGTGCTGAGACTTAACCCCTAGGCCACCAGGGTAGCCCTCATGTGGGTCTTATATTATAAATTGTATCTGTCTCTGTTCTTAGGTTTCCTGGTCCTGATCTAACATTTTCTTCTTCCATTTCCACCTACCCAGCTCTTGCTTTGCATGGGCACAATCCGATGCTGCAGGGGGCATTGTTGCCCCAGCCAGATAGGATACTGACAAGCAGCTAAGAGAAAGGGCCTCACACCGTGGGGCTGAAGATCTGGCATCCCTTTGCTTTTTGTTCTTGGTCATAGAGAGAGAAAAATTATATCAGAAAGTATGTTAGGCAATAAATTATATGTATCAGCATACTGTAAGTAAATAGCATGGAAAAATGTCTGTTTAGAAATTAGTTGTTGGGCAGTTTGGCCCACTTGACAATGGAAGATGGTTTGTTGTGCATGCCTGACAAGCAATCCAGCACAATTGTAGTGGGTCCTTCTTTTGCCTTCTCTTGAAGTTTCTTAGGAAAGTTTTTAAATGAAGTTGACTGTGTTAAGAAGTTTGTAGGTAGAAAAAGTTCTGATAGCTGAGCAGCAGCTGGTCTCCGGCTGAAGGCCATGTGAATAAAATAGTCTTTTGATGCAGAGGCTTTAGCTGATAGAGATGTACTGGCGGCTATCCACTGTCTTAGGTAATTGTCTAGCTGAAATAATAAGTTTTAGTGTTAGGTCTGGTTTTTTATCTATTAACCTTGAAGGCTACCGTCTAGCTGGGACCCGTAGGAGCCAGTAGTCCATGGGAATAAAATACACTAATTGTTTCTGCTTTACACATGACAATGTATTTTTTTTTTTCTGCTTACTAAAAATGAATAAATAAAGACCTGCTGAGTCTCTCGGCAGAAGATACTAGCACCTCACCAAGTGTCAGTGTCTCCTCATTCTACCTCATCCCCTTCCCCTCAGCCCTTTCGTTTTCGCCGACGCCATCTCATCCTTTCAGGAACCCCTGACATGACATTTTGCTGGAGGCTGGTCCCCGGCAGGCACAATCCTATGATCAGAAGCCTAGCTTGTAGAAAATTGAGGGGTGTGGAGTTAGGGTGTATGATTCTTTTTCCTGAGCATCTCTCCAAAAGGGAGACGTGGCAGTTGTTAGACTATGTTAAAATGAAATTTGGGGAAGCAGTGTGACAGACCATGGCAGAGAAGGCAGGCAAAGGTGGCAATGATAGCTCAGGCCCCATCTGGACTGGCCTCCAGGTGTAGGAAGCTACCAGAGTAATAATGATTTCTCACATTTCCTTTTTAATGGATCAGTTATTTAATTATGTTGTGAGGTTACATTCCACTTGTGAGAGCAAGCACAGATTAGAGGCAGCCCTGGAGATGGGGGTCAGCTTTAATTTTTGGCAGACTTCGTGAGTCCACAGCTTTCTGTTCAATCTTTTTAAAAAAGATTTATTTATTTATGCATACAAAAACTAGGATACAGGCCAGAGGTGTGGGGGGTGAGAAGATTCACCAGAGACAGAGCAGGACAGGCAGACTGACTGAAATACACTGCTGAGGGGAGCAGCGGGCGAGACAGGAGACGTCTGCTGCGCCATGTGGGTCACCTCCCTGGCTGGGGCTTGAACTCATGCTGCAGTGACAGCAAATAGCTTCATAGTGCTGAGTCTTAACCCCTTGTGCCACCAGGGAAGCCCCTTTCTGTTCAGTTTTGTGTAGCTCTGTCATCTCGCATTTCTTTCACTGTGTTGAAGATCTAAACTTTCTGGTGTTGGGGCTCACATAGCTTTTTGAAGTGAGATATTTTGGGATTTTCACACCACTGATATCAATTTGGGTAGAGATGGTGACAGATTTCTGGTGTGTTCTATGTAGAGGAACTTGATTGAGGGCAGAGGTCTGAGCCACTGCTCAGTTTCTTCAGGAACCACCCTCCTGTCTCTGTAGCACCAGACAGGGATGGTCACAATGGCCCCCAGAGCAATGCCAGCTGTTTTCTCACATGCCGAATGAAGGGATTTCTGCTGTGGCTCAACAGCTTTCAAGGCACAGCATCAATAGGACAGCATGCAGGCATTTTTTGAAATTTAACCTCTTGGATACTGTCATTCTTTCACCATTAGCTGGTTTTCTGACAGTACAAGAACATTCCTTTCAATCCTAGATTTAGCTGCTGAGTAAGTCTTACATAAAACTGTTCTGGAATACATAGCAGATCAGGAATATCTACCAATTCATCTGACTAGAATGGGGTCTTGCTATAGTGGGGTTTCCCTTTCTAAGGTATTTTGGCCTTGAGATTTATGCCTCCTAACCTTGCCAGCAGCATCAGACATTCTGGCTTCAGGTTTCTTTTCCTCAGTAGCTGGCTTCTCAGCTTTTTAACCTGCCATCTTGCAAGATGGGAAAGAGCCCTCTCAGACTATCAAATATCACTTTCTTTCAATTAATCCCATGGGGGAGCCAACCATACCTCTGACTTTCCTAGGGATAGAGTGTTCCTTCCTTTGGGCAGAGTTATTAGGGCTTCTATAAACATCAAATTGAAAAGCTGTCTACTGGGGAACCTCACTGTCCAAGGTTTTACTGGGGGCAGGTCATGCAGGTACCCTTTACCTAACATATTCCCAAATTCCAAGCGCCTGGAAGGAAACAGGTGTCCAGCATAAACCACACTGTTTCTACACAGTTTAGGCACAATGAGCGAGCCTCTTATCAGTTAGGGACTAGTGGGACCTCTCCTAGAATCCAAGTTTCTTGATGCCTGTTAAGAGCCAAACTCGCAAGCAGATCTTTCTAAGGATAGCAGTCTAAGGCCTGTTATGTAAACACCTTTTATTCATATCAAGCCAGCTTCTGATTTTTCTGTGGTGTTGGCTAAGGTATCACCTTAGCCAGGATGCAAGACTGGTGGTCCCCATCATATTTCTATTTGATTGATCACTCTGGCCCCTGAAAAATGTTGACACATCCTGCAGGATCAGAGTAGACTACGGCAAAATCCACCAAGTAGGAACCCTGATTATAGCTGCTGTGCCAGATTATAGCTTGCTTTGCTAGAACAGATTAACATGGCTATGGATATAAGGTACGTGACCACTGATCTGGTGTGTGCTGATTTTTCCATCTCTGTAAGAAAATAGGACTATAGACAGTTCACAATCACATGGAACAAACATGTTACACTCTTGCTTCAGTTCTATAACTGAAAGTGACCTAGACCAGACAGACATTCTACAGACAATTTCTTTGTTCACTATATTGATGGATGGTATTGATCCAATGAGATAAGCAAGATTTGACTAGTAAATTTGAGGCCTTGCGGGTAACTCAGAGGGTGAAATAAAACCCATGAAATTCTGGGCCGGCCACATCAGCAGAATTTTGTGGGAGTGTCGAGTGGTGAGGAACATGGTAGGCCATCCCCTATGAAGTAAATGATAAATGATTATGACTTGCATTTCCCACAAGGAAGAAGGAAACACAATGCTTTAACAGACTATCTCTTTGGCTTCTGAAAGAAGTGTATTTCACACTAAGTATACTATTCTCAATAATGCAATTGGCCATATTTAAGGCTGCCAGTTTTCAGTGAAGCCCCAAACAGCTTCCAAGGTAGGCCTTATTGTGGTGAAAATAAGCCTGCCACTTGGGTCACCTAAGTTAGCAGGCCCTATGATAGTAGCTATGGTAGAGAGGAAACATGAGGAAGACATTAAAGCAAAACCACCACATACTCTTTTGTTTCTCTGCTCATTTTATTGAATAACTGAATGTATAAAACCACATACAGCACATCAGTGAAAAAATACTTTATTTTTCAAGTATAAAGGATTCCTAACCCCCAATTATTTCTGTAATAATTTAATTAAAACTAAACATATCTTTTGATACATTTCACCTTTTCTCAAATTAAAGACAATGGTATAATTGTGATCATCTTTAGTAACCAAATTCTATTTCCAGAGATTTAAACTTGATATGGAGAAAAATGTCACATTAAGTCCTTCATACCTGGTTTGGTGCTGAGGTTGGCCTTGGCTGCTTGAGGAATCTCTGAAGGGGAACTGGTTTTGCTCTGCACGGGGTTTTGCTCTTCCTTGGCTAAGCTGGAATCTCTGGGAACAGAGGACTGAGGTATACACTGTGTTCAGGCATTTGTTAGAGGTGGAGGTGGGGAAGATCCTATATTTCTTATGTCAGATTTCTACTGGCAATCATTTCTCCATTAGAATAAAGAGCAGACAGAAAACTCTGGGCCCTTGAGAATATCAATATTTTGCCCACAGTTACCTATCTCTCAGGCAGGGGTACTAAGGCTGAGGTCATTGTGAACACAAGTAGTAAACTGATTGTGGCAACTATGAGAGTGGCAGAAACTAGGGCTTGAGTCTTAGGACGGTTTCCCAGGTTTCATTTATTCTAAGCAGCCAGTACAGAGCTAATATTTGGATATACTATGTTTGGATGTGTTCTCGTATTTGCAGGACACATTGATTTTAATTTTTATACTGAAAAGTAGAGTAAGGGGAAAAAGTCTGCATCTCTACCACAGTATCTCCATAAAATCTAAGTGCACACCCAAACTTTCCATTAAAGTGCCCATTATCAATTAAAAATTAAATAACTAAAATAAATAACGGGTAGCTAATGAACTTTTTTTTAAGATAGTAAAAAGATATGACCAGTGATTCCTTCTTAGTGTAATGCTGACCTCTCAAATATGAGTAAAATCCCACTTTGAGGGAAGGTTTGGAATCCTACATCAAAATATAACATGGATAAAAATATAAAATTCTTAAATATAAAAAAATTTTAAGCCATCATATTCTTACTGATAGTAATATAATATAAATGATAATCAAATTTAAGCACAAAATACAGTTCCTTTCTAGTTAGCACATTGAGATAATAGGTACTGAAATTCTACTTACTAAGGCATAGAAATCTGAATGAGGTTTGTATATATACATGTGTATTGAAGTGGAACTTTGGCGTTGGGTTAAGAAATTTTTACTCTAATTGATAAGATGACTGAATTGTTTTTACTAAGAAATTAGGAGAAAAGCTAAATTTCTCTCACTTGGATCAACAAACAGCTAAGAGTTCTATTTCTGTATATTCAGTATGCGCCTACTCTAATGGCTGTTTTACTTATGTTTTTTGCTAAATAAAAAATTTTGGACAGTAATCTATTCTAATTAGAGGAAAATATTGTAATCCTTTCTCCAATTCCTATTTCAAGTAGAAGAGCCACATCCTTATTTTTAAAAGTTTCTTCTATATTTTTAAAAAATGTCATCAATATTACTTTCTGTAAAATACAAAGCAGCATTAAAAATATTCAGCTAGTACTTGCATTCAGGGATTAAAAATACACCTTTCTGATGAAGTAAGTCATGAGACAATGTTTGGAATAACTGTCAGGCCAAATAAGCATGGAAAATCAGATTTATGACCCTCTAAGAATCTTTTAAAGCTATACTGGTTTACATCAAAGGACTCCCTGGTGAGGAGGAGCGATGTAATGCAGAGGAAAACTAAGACCTCATCAAGGTCTTTTTAACTTGATTCTGAAGAACTTTAAAAGGCAATAGATCTGCACCAAGTGTCGTTCTCACGGTCAGCACTACACAATGTCTTGTAAAAAGATCTTTTTGTATTATTGGTAAGAAAAGCAGCCTGGATGGGGTTCAAGATGGACATATAACTGAATTCTACTTTATTGTAAAATACATTAAAGTACAATTCAATGGACTTAACATAAAGCACATGTAAGGTACTTCCTTGAAATAAAAAATCTGATGCTGCTGAAGAAGTGTTCATTTCCTAGGACTACAGCTTAATGTGGCTGATTTGATATCATTTCCTTAGTCTTGTGGACTTTTCTTGAGCCTTTAACATCCTTTAATACAATAGTGACCTAGCACTAATTTAGGTCTATAAAAACATAATTGTCACAAGTCACACAAAAACATGATAGACTAGAACAAATTTCTACACATCTTCAAAAGAGTCTTTGGATAACTACAGTGCATAATGCTCCAGAGGATCCAAACAAGTATCTGAAATGGATAGTATTTAATGATGATAAATGAAAATAAGTTTCTAAAAAGTTATACCAATGTCAGTTTAAGGTAGTACGTGAACTTATTTCATGAAATATAGTCTCGTTCTATGCTCTCCTGACAACATTCCCAACAGAAAGTTTCCAGTCTATTTGCTGTTTCTTGGCTGATGAGACAGTCATCTTTTAACTCCCTGATTGTCTTCCTCAGTGACTTTTGGAAACGTTTTTCTCGGTCTAAAACATTCTGCAGACTTTTCTTGGTATCCTCTAGCTCGCTGATCACGTGATCTAATTTATGTTTAAGTTTCTTTGGACTGTCCATTACACTGTAGCTATGTTCCTAAAAACATAAACACCAAGTTATTAGACAGACAAGTACTTAGATAAAAGCTTATACCTAGGCTTTCTTTGTTCCTCCTTTAAGGTGCTTAGGGATCTTTAAGTTGGTGATACTAAGAATGTTCAAAGAACATAGAAAGAAGATAGGGATGGAAACTATATGGCTTTTGTTTAGGCATAGGAAAGAAACCTTGCTTGCTATGACTATACAGGTTTTGTTCCCTGAGAGTGGAGCCGCTAAGTTTATCTTACCTTACAAACACAGACTTAAACTTTCAAGTGAGTTACTCAATTTTATTTATTTTTTATTTTTTTTAAAAAAAGATTTATTTATTTATTTATACAAGCACTGGGTACAGTCAGAAGCGCAGGAGGGTGAGAGAATTCACTAGAGCCAGAGCGGAGAGTAGAACAGGCAGAGTGACGAAGTACACTGCTGAGGGGAGCAGCGGGCGACAGGAGAGGTCTGCGCGCCATGTGGGACCCTTGCCCGTGGCCGGGGATCGAACCGGTGCTGCAAAGGCTGTGGGCAGCTTCGCAGCCCAGTGCTCAACCGCGGCACCACCGGGGAGGCCTTGAATTACTCAATTTTAATAAATATTTCAGTTGATAAGGAATGACAGCCAAAGAGCACTGGAGCAGAGCCTCAGGCTGGGTATTCTAGATTTAGAGAGGATTCTGATTTTGGAATTTTAAAGTGATAATTTAAGTTTTCTCAATACTTACTATGATTATGTGTAAGTTTGCTGGGTATACTATTTTTCATTCAAAACAGGGAGAATAACACTGACAAGGTAAAACTATTTTGAAAAGCTGTTATTTAGTATTAAAATTAGTGAAGAGGATTTTTGCTTCCAGTCAAGATGAAGTAATAGATTGGAATGACCCCATCTAAAAAAAAACCAATACATGGTCAGAACCTCACTGAGTAGTGACACTTCAGATAGCTTGGTACACATGTCATAACAGCTCAGAAGAAAAGTTGAGGTAGAAAAAGAAACAATGAAGAAATCAAGTCAAAAATTTCCAAGTTTGATGAAAGCTATAAACTCACAGGTAAAGAAGCTTAAGAAATCCCAAGTATAAGAAACATTAAGAAAATTAAACTAAGGTACATCATAATCATATTGAAAGCCTTTGGAAAAGTTCCTAAAAGCAAAGGAAAAAAGAAATGCTAAGTACAAAGGATCAAGTATGACAGTAGGCTTTTCATTAGAAATAATCCAGGCAGTTGAGCGCAGCGCTGTGAAGCTGTCCGTAGCCTCTGCAGTGCGTGTTCGGTCCTGGCAGGCCGGGGAGATACCCACATGGTACAGCAGAACTCTCCTGTCTTGCCTGCAGCTCCCCTCAGTGGCGTATTTCAGTTAGTCTGCCTGTTCTGTTCCCCGCTCTGTCTCTGGTGAATCCTCTTACCCTCCCGCACATCTGGCCTGTACCCCAGTTCTTATATAAATAAATAAATCTTTAAAAAAAGAGGAAATAATGCATGTGAGAATACAGTGGCACAGTATCTTTCAAGAACTAAAGCCAAAAGCCAAATAATAAAATCCTAAAACTATCAACCTAGAATGTTAAGATTTAGTGAAAATATTTTTAAAAAATGAAGACTAAATAACTTCTCAAATACATACTAAAAGGATTTATCACCAGCACAGTTGCAATATAAGGAAAGTTAAAGCCAGTCCTTCAGACAAAATAATGCCAGATGGAACCAAAGACTTACACAAAGACATGAAAATCCCAGATAATGGCAACTACAATGGTATGTGCAAGTTTGTTTTTTTTTTAAATTATTTAAACTTGTTTGAAAGATAATTTACTGTTTTAGCAAAAATAGCAACAATGTGGTATGGGGTTTATAATGTGTAAATATGAAATGTATTGATAGTGGTAGCAGAAAGGGTGGGACAGGAGAAAGAAAAGTATATTATTGTAACATTTTTACTACCTGTGAAGTAGCATAATGTCACCTGGATATAGCCTGTGATAAATTAAAGATGCCTGTTATAAATCCAAAAGCAACTGCAAAACTAAAACAAAGCTAAGAGCCCCCAAAAGGTAGAAATGCTGCCTACAAAGAAAGAAAAAATACTGAAAAGATAAAAAGGTTGAAAGTGAGAGTGAAAAAAGATAAACCAACATAACACTAATAAAAAGTGAGTTAGAGTGTGTATACTGCCATCAGACAAAGTAGATTTCAGAGAAAACAACATAACCATGGATGCAGGGGTCCATTTCTTAAGGACAGAGGGGCTAATTTATCAAGACAGAGCAAACCAAGTATTTAGTACCTACTTACAGTGCTGAAAAATATAACATATAATATCTGACAACTGCACACAAAGCATTAGCTATTCTATATTACAAGCCTCAATAAATTTAAAAGCATGGGCTTCCCTAGTGGTGCAAATGGTTAAGTCTCAGTACTCTGAAGTTATCTGCAGCCACTGCAGCATGAGTTCAATCCCTGGCCAGGGAGGTGACCCACATGGTGCAAACCCACATGGCACAACCTCTCGTCTTGCCAGTTGCTCCCCTCAGCAGTGCATTTCAGTCAATCCGCCTGTTCTGCTCCCCACTCTGTCTCTGGTAAATCCTCTTATTCTCCCAAACCTCTAGCCTACACCTCAGCTCTTGTATGCATAAATAAATAAAATAAATATTAAATTTTTTAAAAAGCATTCAAGCCAAGCATTGTTTATTCTCTGTCCACTTTAGGATTAAATAAAAAATGAATGATGGAAAGCTATCTGGAAAATTCCCCAACATTTGAAAACAACATGGCACATTTCTAAGTTTTCATGAGTGGAAGAACAAATCAAAATGAAATTTAGAAGTATTTTCAACTAAATGGAAATGAAAGCATAACATTTAATTTCAGAAATAGAACTAATGCAGTACCCCAGTAGAAATTAATATCACCAACTGCCTACATTATTAGAAAAAAGTAAGCAAATTTTGCTGAAGACAGTAAAAGAAAATGATAAATATGAGAGAAAGCAGTAAAGTAGAAAACAAAAATAACAACAAAAGCAAGAGAACAAATTAAAGCTAATTCTTTGACAAGATCAATAAAATTAGTAAAACTCTAGCGGACTGAGCAGCAGAGAAACAAATTACCAACAGTAGATATGGAAGAGACAATTTTACTACAGAGTTTAAAGATACTAAAACAGTAATAAGAAAATGTTATGAACAATTTTAAGCTAATAAACTTGACAACTGAGATGAAATAGACAAATCTTCTGTAAGATATAAAATAACTTGGGCCTCCCCGGTGGCGCAGCGGTTGAGCGCTGGGTTGCAAATCTACCCGCAGCCTCTGCAGCGCCGGTTCGATCCCCAGCTGCTCCCGGCCACTGGAGGAGGGTCCCACATGGCGCGCAGACCTCTCCTGCCGCCCGCTGCTCCCCTCAGCAGTGTACTCCGGTCCTTCTGCCTGTTCTGTTCCCCGCTCTGGCTCTGGTGAATTCTCTCACCCTCCCGCACTTCTGACTGTACCCAGTGCTTGTATAAATAAATAAATAAAATAAAATAAAAATAAATCTTTAAAAAAAAATTTAAAAAAATATATAAAAGAACTTTCCCACAAAGAAAATTACTTGTCCTGCTAGTTTTACTAGGAATCTACCAAATATTTATAGAACAAATAATACCAATACTATTTAAACTCTTCCAGAAAATCAGAAAAGGAAACAATATTTTTCAAACCATTCTTTGAGGTCAGCTCTATTCTAATATAAACCCAGACAAAGACATAAGAAAGAAAACTATAGGTGAATATCCCTCTTGAACATACAAGGAAAGACTATAAACAAAACTTTAATATCTAATCCAATAATGTGGAAAAGGGTAAATACATCACAAAGAAGTAGGGTTTATTCCAGGAATGCAATGTTGGTTTACATTAAAAGACCAGCCGATATATAAGTCATATTGATAAAGTAAAATTAAGAAAAACTATATGATCTCTCTAAATAGGTACAGAAAATGCATTTGACAAAACTAACATTCTCTCTTTTTTTGGTATAGCAAATACATTGTTATTTCCTTTTGTGAAAATAAACAACTGGGAATTTATGTTGATTAAAAAAAATCCCATAAGGCCTCCCTGGTGGCGCAGTGGTTGAGCACTGGGTTGCGAAGCTGCCCGCAGCCTCTGCAGCGCCGGTTTGATCCACAGCCACCGGGTGAGGGTCCACATGGCGCGCAGACCTCTCCTGCCGCCCGCTGCTCCCCTCAGCAGTGTACTTCGTCAGTCTGCCTGCTCTGCTCTCCGCTCTGACTCTAGTGAATTCTCTGACCCTCCCACGCTTCTGACTGTACCCAGTGCTTGTATAAATAAATGAATAAATCTTAAAAAAAAAAAATCCCATAAAAACAAAAGGAAATACACACAGAAAAAACATGTGAAGTAATGGGTGGAGAAGAGAGGAGAGTCATTCTTTGGAAATTTGGCAGACTGTGCTAGCACTGACCCAGGAGGTAAGAGTGAGACTTAAGAGTCAGTTCCCAGCTACTACTTTGGGACCATGAAGATCTTAATTGCTAAGTAGGTAGAACACAGATTTCTTGATGAGTAAGTAGCAGGCACCCTGAGTTCCTTTCAGTGTGTGGAAGCACCACTTCAGAGTGCCTCTGCCCCACTGAGACCTGGAGGCTGGCAGGTTAGGACTCACTGAGGAAAATGGGAGTTGGTAGAAATAAATCGGGCAGAGGTGGCTTTTCTTATGGTGCTAGATTTATAATGGGCACAGGACGAAGAAAATGAAGGCAAAGAACCCATAGAGTTGAGAAGAGGAGGAAAAACACAGGTGGGGTAAAAACAAATGTGCATTTCTGATTTAAAAAAAAACTCTCAGCAAAGTAGGAATAGAAGTGCATTTCATCAACATGATAAAGGGAATTTACAAAAAAACCTACAATTAGTATCATATTTAATAATGAAAGACTGAATGCCTTTCTCCTAAAATCAGGAGCAAGGCATCAATAGATTTTAGTAAGTCTATTCAACAGGGCCCTGGAGGTTCAATGCAGTGCAATAAAACAAGAAAAAGAAATAGAAATGAAAGGCACCCACACTGCAAAGGAAGACTAAAACTACCTTTAATGACAGACAACATAGTTATTCATGTGGGAAATTTGATAGCCTCTACCAAGAAGCCTTTAAAATTAATTATGTGAGTTTTATAAGTTTGCAAAATGTTAAATCAATCTACAAAAATTGATCAAGTTTCTATATACCAGCAGTAAATAAAACAATACCATTTATAATAGAACAGAAATATAAAATATTTAGGGATAAATCTGACAAATGAAGTGAAAGACTTTCACAATGAAAACTATCAAACATTGCTGGGAGATGTTAAAAGTATAAAGAAGTGAAAAGATCTATTGAGTTCATGGTTAAAAGACTTAAAATAGTCTTACTAAGATGTCAATTCTTCACAAATAGATCTGTAGTTTCAATACAATCCCAATCAAAATTTCACAGGAGTTTTTGTAGAAACTGTTACAAACTGGTTCTAAAATTCATGTAAGAGTATAAAGAACCTAGAATATAAAAAAACAACTCTGAAAAAGAATGAAGTTGGAAGACTAACACTGCCTGATTACAAGAATATAAAACTATAGTAATTAAAATAATAAGATAGATCTGGATTCCAATGAGATGAATAAATAAATATAAGCTAGAATATTCGTTATGTGTATGACTATTGTTCAAGAAAAACATAAAGGCTTAACCATATTTTAGGCATTAGGTATTTCAGGTATTAGATATTTCAATATTAGAAGATATGGTACCTAAAGGGAGGAATTAATTATTGTATTTTCTTGGTAGGAATATCTTTGTAAAATTATTCTTTGAATTAAATATGTAACTGAAGGGTTAACTGTCTTTACATTGTTATTGCATTTATACAAACTATAATGGCCCTGGAAAGCAATATTATTTTTGGATATTACGTATTAGAAAAAAATCTGATACAACTAAACCCCTAGTTTGATCTTAATAGAGAGAACACATTCATGTTAAAATACCAACATTAGGGCCTTCCTGGTGGTGCAGGGGTTAAAGTCTTAGCACTATCAAGTTATCACCAGCCTCTGTGGCATGAGTTCAACCCCAGGGAGCTAACCCACATAGTACAGCACACCTCTTCTGTCTTGCCTGCTGCTCCCCTCAGTAGTGTATTTCAGTAGATCTGCCTGTTCTGCTCCCCACTCTGTCTCTAGTGAATCCTCTCACCCCATGCACCTCTGTCCTAGCTCTTGTATGCATACATAAATAAAAAAAGAAATAAATCTAAAAAAGAAATACCAATATTAGGAACCTTACTTACAAAAATAAGCTGGGATTGGAATTCTTCAGTGCACGAGGAAGCACCAACAAGCTGGTGATTGTGGTTTGTGACGGGAAGAGTTTTGAGAGTGAAGTTTGTTCTACAATGAAGCTTTCTCTTTTTCCCTGTTGAGAACAATTAATTAACAACGCATAACAATTATTGTAGATACTTCTGTTCTTTCTTAAGTTTTTATTACTTTTAAACTTGTTTAGTAAAATTAATGCAACTTTTTTTCCATAGGAAAGCACATAATTCAATTAGCATTTATTTATATAATCTTGTTCAGAATTTACTAAAATTCCTTTATTTTCTTTTTCTAGCCTTTTCTCACCTTTCCTTCTCTAATTCTTACCTCCTTTTTCCCTCTGTCTTTTTGCTCCAACCTATGCTTTAAACATGAATATGTGACTATAGTTTGGTCTGGTAGGGGCTCTGCTGTTGACTCCTGCTCCAGTGTGAGAGGACTGTCAACTTGGAACTCCAGTTTAAGCCTTTTATGCTAACTTCCAATTTTTAGACCACAAATCTTCAGTTACGTTAAATCCTAAAGTTACAGTCCACTTCACCAACCCTTAGTAATGTATAAATATTTCTGTGTGTCTATTGGTAAAATATTTCTACAAATTACGAAGTTGAAGCAGCAATTTAAAATTTAATAAATCAAAGGACTTCAAATGAATATGGTTAAAGTTTTTCAATAGTCCCATGAAAAGTGAGTAATAATGGTAAGCAGTGCTTTGTAAACATACCTGTAAGTGAGATGGGAAATCAAAGATAGAAGGTATGACTCCAGGTTTCAGTTTAATATTTGGAGCACTTCTGTCAAAATCTGTCTTCTTAAAGTGCCTTGAACACAACACATCTCCTTTTTTGGGCTCCCAAATGCCTGCAGCATTCACATCAAGTCTTTTCATTGCTAATACCCATTTTCTTTTGACATTTTCATCTGTGGGGAATCTAGAAAAATACAAAATTTTCTTGAAAACTAAACACTATTGACATATACTTGAATTAAGGCTGTGACTAAATTGATTCCTTAATTAGTTTATTAGTCTTGGGAATGAGAATATTCAGGAAACCATCATGAATCATGCTTTCATAACTTTGTTTTAATAGTTGAATTTTTATACCAATCATGCTATAGACATATGGCACTCTTTTTGATTTTTCTCATACTGAAGAAAAGTTTCAATGGATATTTAACAACTTACAGTAAGATCCACAATAGAAAGTTTTTTCATCTATAGATGATGAAGACTACTATTTGGGCCTTTACCTATATAAACTGATATCTAGAACCTATCCCACATGAATACAGTCCATTGTACTTTCATTTTTCTGTCAGTATCAGAAATTTCTCAGTACTGCATTTAACACATAACAGTTCTGTAAGAGTTTAATGAATGACTGCAGAAAATAGCTTCCACTTGGAGTTCTGGAGATGAGGACTACTTTGGAGGCCAATAACTCTACCTTTTCCAATTTTTCAAGCTGTTTTAAATCCTTCTCGTGGAATAAGGTAGAGCACACATACTCATTTGATTCCCTCATACCTAGCAAAGTAGTTAGGCGATCTTTCTCTAGCACATGGTTCAGCGCCTGGTACAAAAAACAGCAAAATAAACCTAGCAAATGAATAATTTCAGACCTATTATCCTGTCTTTCCTTTGCTGTCAGAAGAACTGCTAAAATACTAAATTATGATCACCTTAATTGATCTGCATTATAGCCAAAGGCCTCTTGTAATTTCTATTTTTTCTTTACCATCTAAGCTTGATCTATTTCTAAATAGAAAGGACATCATTTATTTGTGTAAATATCCTTTCTCCCCTCAGACTGTAAATTCAGACTTCTTTGAAGGTGTTAAAATGCAAAGTAAAAAATATTAGCAAAAATGAACTTATGATATTATTGCTAACCAGATGGATACTTGGCAGGTGTCTCAAATGTCTAAACTAAATCATAAAAGTACTACTGTCACTCAAATTTAACTAAAAAAGTTATTTAAAAAGGACATGGGGACTAAAGGTCAAAATTTGAAGGTTTAAGTAGACTATCTTCAGCTTTTTCAACAGTCAAAGTACTTGGCTTAACTACAGCAAAATCTTACACGTGAAATGTCAGTCCTTTTAACTTGGAATTTGGCAAACATCGAGAAGCGCATCCAATGGCCGAGCAACATTTCACCATGATTTTAGCGACTCATAACAGAACTGAAAAAAATTAAAATGGTAAGAGTTAGTAACGTTAAAGCTACCGGAACATACTGACATTTCCCAGTATGTTTTAGGTTACATGAAACAATGCTGGAAACCCAGAGGCAAATATTTTCTTCCATCAACTTCAGCTTTGTTCATAGTGTTTTCCAAGGGCTTGGCTCTTTAATAAAGTTAGTTATACATATTGTGTATGCCGAAGCACCCGATTTTAATTTTGCAGCCTTGTACATTTCCCTCCACCACTTCTGACAGGCAACAGGCTCCTGTGCCAAAAAGTGCTTGGCACACAAACTCCTACTGATCTTTCATCTCAAATGTTGAGTCCCC